CTGCCGCGGGCGCAGGCCTCCCAGCCGCCCCCCTCCTTCTCCGAGCCACCGCCCCCCTCCCTGGAGCCCCCGCCGGCCACCGCCTCCCAGCCCTACCTGCCGCCTCCTGCCCAGGGCTACATGGCGCACCCCCAGCCCTACCTGCTCTCCTCCCAGGCCTCCCCTTCCCAGCCGGCGCAGCCCGGCCTGGCGCCCTCCATCCCTCCCCCGGCCAAGCCATCGCAGGCCCATTTCCCCCCGCCCCAGCCGTCCTTGCCCCTGCCCGCCGCTGCCCAGCCGGAGGCCGCGCAGGGTGCCAGCAAGGAGGCCGGTGGCACCGAGCAGCCGGACCCCTCCACCATGACTCCCCAGGTAAGGCAACGCCGCCTCCTCCGCGCTCGCCCCCGCGGCCCCGGCTGGCAGGGGCAGCCGCCAGGGCAGCGGTGGTGATTAGCCGCTGCTGGCGGGTAGGTCTGCGAGTGAGGGCAGTTAGTAAACACGCCGTATTTGCATAATACTTGAAGGGTTTGGACGCAACCCGTGGAAGTCCGGCAATGGCACGGCTCGGGCGAGTCTCTGTAAGCGCTTCTTTATCCAGGAGTGCTTGTTGGGACGTAACAAATCATCATTTTTCAAGAGCCAGTGAGTTGTTTATGGAAAAGTCTAACTCCTGGCTGAATTTAATTTTCCTGGGGGGGTTTGTTGGTCTCTGGAGAATTGTTTTCCAAAGTACAGTGTGTGGGCGACCTGCAGGAACCTCTGATGACTTCATCCGGCATGTTCTGAGATGCAACAGACTGTTTGCTTAGTGCACGTTGCAGGATGAGTGCCTCTTGTCTTTGGCGATTCCTTCATTTAGTTTTCTCATGGGGTCGTGTTTCAGTCGTCTGCCCAATTGGTGTAGAATTATGACTATTTTAATCTTACCGCACATAGTTAAAGCTGCAAAAGTGTTTCTGTTGTAGTACATAGTTGCCCTTTGCTTAGATTTGCGTGTTGTGTGCTACACGTGCCTGATCTTCCAGTACAAGATTGTGGGGGGCGTTGGAGGGAAATGCTCTGAAATGCTTTTGAGGTGAAAAATGTTGTTAATGCTGTGTGCTTTTTATGCGTACGTTAGGGCCGAAATGCCTGCAAAATGTTCACGTGCTTCACTTCCTAAATGTGAGCAGTTCCAGTGAACTTGGCGTGACCATTCAAATGCATTAAATTAGGGACAATCTAGTTGCTTAAGGTTAAGCATGCACAAAGAGACAGGCATGTTGAGGTCCTCCACTATGTATACAGGTCAGTCAGATTCACTGAGGCTTTTGCATGGTTTTAGGGTCAGCTTGTAGAGATCCAGCTGCAAGGACAAAGCTGAAGTGCATGCTTTAAATTGACTTTATTTATCTTTAAAAGATATCTATTTTTGGCAAATTGGTCTTAGGATTCTGATTTGAACCTAAGTTCGCAAAAATCCTGTTGCGCCATATTGAAGTCACTGACACTTTAAATTTGTTAATCGTTGGGACACCTTTTTAATTTCCTACCAATATCTGAATATGTTTGGGAATGTATCATTTTTAAGTTTGCACCATATAACTAATCACTGCCTAGCAAAGTGGTGCTTTCAGTTCATGAATTTAATTTTACAAAGGTTTTGGACAGTACTAGTTGATCTTTTACAGTGAGAGCAATGGGACTCATTAAATTTTTTAATGACAAAACCAAAACCTTGAAAAATCAGGTGTAAAAAGTGATGTTAATTCGGTGTTGAGGCTGCTTGATGACTTCTTAAATTATTGAACTTGAGATTGAACAGTAAACTGTAATTCCTCCCCCCTTATGTAGCCTGAAACTTCATTAATGTTATTTAATTGTTCCTCAACTACTCTGTCCTTTCCGGAAGAGTAGCAAGTAGTGCATTATTGTGGTGCACACATAGAAGTGGCAGAATACTGCTGAAGTTTACATTGTCTGGTTTATGAGTGTTTGTACTATCTTGAGTAGTTTGTTTACTCTCATGCACAATTCAAAAGTAATCTGGTACTTTGCTGGTCATAAATTTGTTATAACAGGTTGATACGATTTTGGCTATCTTGGGCTGTAAAATGAGACAGTATTTGGAGCAACAAGTCCTTACACAACAGGAATAGGAAAGACAAAGTGTGGTGATGCTTTCTTCCTGATGATATTAAAAGCCAAGTAGAGAAATACTGTAATTTGTAATTTATAAGATCCTATTAAGCCTTTGTTTAAACTGGTAATTGAAAACAATTCTTTTTGTTCTCATCCCACAGTAACAGTGGCTGCAGCCAAATAGATCAGCGTTTTTCTCTTAACACAGAAAATACGCAATTTGCCATGACTTAGTGTTTTATTATTTCCCTTTTTTGTCTAAAACCAAGATACTGCTCTTTGCCTTGACAATATTGTGAGTTTATAGTAGTTTATTACATGAGTATACAGTTGGATTAAATTACTGGATTCTTGTGTTTCTTTACAATTAGATGCATCTTTTGTCAAGTCCTGTTAAAATACCTGTTCTATTTCTTTAATGGTCCATCTGATATTTGGGTACTGTATGCTGCTATTTATTTACAGTAGTAAACAAATATTTGTGGGTGCATCTGTACCCATAAATATGCATTTATCTACATCTGTAAAAGCTACCTTAGCTTTACCATGTCACCTTTCAGCAGATTGTTGCACTCTTTACAATCCCCCTTCTGTTTTATAAAGGTTGCTAAACCATTCTTTTGCTATCCTTACCAGAAAAGGACCAAGTGTGCCCCAAAATAGGCATTGTGTTATGGCCTACGGTCGCCTAAATTAATTTTGAAGTAGTCTTTTGGCATGGGCTCTGCATTAATGTTTTTGGTGGTATGTCCTGTGGTCAGGAGCTGATAGTGCCGGTTTCAGTGTTCCCTGTAAAATGCAACAGGCATAGTCTGTTGGTCAGCCGAAGATGGAAAAAGGCATATGTTGATGCTGGTGTGTTCCTTGGGCTTAAGGATTGTAACTGGACTTGAATAATGACAGTCATCAGGAGGAGATAAGCACTCAAATAACTGAACTTTCTGCTATCAGGAATTTTCTACGCTAGCACTTCTGTTTTGCTCAGACTAAGCTGTAGAAATCTACCTTTCTGCTTTTCTCATGCTTTGCAGATAGAACATGCAATACGTGTGTCACTGACTTCATCTGCTGCAAAAAATAGGTGACAGGGTATTATTGTAGTTCTTTGTGTGAACCCCTGGTCATATTATGAGTTTTAGCCCTTTGTCCAATTGGTAGAATGAGGAGGAAACAAAATGGATCCATGGAAACAACCGTTTTGTGGCAGTAGAACATGTGCTCACCAAGCATAGCATCCAGCACCATCATGGTAAATCACCTTATAATGCCTTTTGAGAGGGATAATTGAATCAGGTTTTGTATAGCTGAGGATGTATGCTCCTCCCTGGTGTTGAAAGTTGCACTTACTACAGCATGTTGTTGAAGGTTTTTGAGAGAGTCCATGCTGGAGTGTAAATGCATGTCTTCCACCCAAAGTCATAACAGCTCTTCTGAGTCATATTCTTGTTAAAAAGATTCTTGGCAGGAGTTATTGCAGGATCAACATGAAATCCAAGAAGCATAGCCTCTCCTTTCATTGACCGCATCTCCAAGTTACAGCTTTACAGAAGTATTTTTTAAAAAATACAGCTCCATGTTTAATTGTGTCTGCTAGATTGCTACCAATAGAAAACATCATTCCTGATCTGAGCATGACGTAGGCTTTTGGAGGAAGCTTGCACTTCTTTTAAACCTGTTTTAAGATAGGCAGAATGGTTCAGTTTTGAGAAATCTCATCAGACAGCACCTACCGCTTTGTTGTTGTCACAGTTATATTTTAAAATACCTGCATCTTTTGGATTCTTTTCTGTTTCTGAGTGGGCTTTATATACATGTCTTTTCTTAAATGTGTGTGCTGGGATGGAAGGGAAGAACAGAGGATATGAAAGATGTAGAGCAGTCACAGATTCTAAGAGGTGGTGTGAAGTTGACATGAGAGCACAAGAATGGTTGCACTAGGTCAGACCAAATGTACAGTATTTTATCATTCTGTCTTTGACAGTGACTAAAAGCAAATGCTAAGAGAATAACTTAAAAATCAAGTGTATAGCGATACTTCCCTAAAATCTAGGAGCCGCCTTAGCTGCAACTAGTGTCTTTATCTTTAAAATCTGTAGATTTTTCTTCTATGAGCTTATGGAGCTGTGTCTTGAATCCACAAAATTTTAGCCCTTGCAATGGTCTCTGGCAGGGACTTTGGTAGCACAAGGCCATGTCAGGTGAAGAGCTGCTTCCTGTGTGTTTTAAATCTGTGTCCTGCTAGTCTGATTTGATGCCTGATACTTCTTGTATTGGAGGAGGTGCAGAACTGTGGGTTCCTAATGAGGACTCTTTAAGATGCACCACTACTTAAGTGTTGAGATACTTATCTTTAGCCTTTTGTTCTTTATGTTGGTGTCAGCTTACAGTGCTTTGAAGCTACTGTCATCTGTCCCGAGTACTCTAATTCTAGCCTGAAATGTTTAAAACTGAAAGGTTGATCACTTCTTAAATGGATAATTTTTTGGGTGCAACCATGTCTCTTTACCTCTTCAGCTGTTGAATGAATCAGAATTAATGAGAATTCAGATGATAAATAATACTCCCTATATGCTGGTTCCGATTGTTCTTTTTCCTTTCCACAGCCTTTATTCAAACGTCTCCACCACAATTTCTCAGCTGTCATTTTCACTCTGCTTGATGTCTGTGTTCTCTGTGTGTCCTCTTCATCTTTTTTGTACGTTTCCTCCTTTTTCTCTTTACTGGTCCCTTACTCATACGAGTCCTCCATTTTCCCTTCATTTTACCTGAGTTAGTCTCATAATTATAGCTGTCAGGAATAAAAAGCACTAAAAATAAATGTGGTACTTATCACATGTCTGTACTAATTTGGCTTTTTATTGGCCACCTTTTTGCTTTTTGTTATTGTGCTGTTTAGTTGTAAGGTCTTTGAGGTAGGAAATACATTCTGCTGCAGGCACTATGCCTCACGTAGTGGTTTCTGAATTTTGATTCAATTTTCTGACATCCATTGCAATACTGTTGATGATGAAGTGAGTTTTCCCTCAAAAGAGATTTCCAGAGTAGGATTCTAGTGACTGTCATGAATTAATTTTCATGTTTTTTTCCTATGAAAGGTGTCTTAGAAAATTTCTGTCTGTTGTAGGAACAGCAGCAATACTGGTACCAGCAGCACCTGCTTAGCCTCCAGCAAAGGGCAAAAGCCCATGCTCAGGGACAGCAGCAAATGAAAGGTCCAGTAGTGAAGGATGCAGCTGAGCAGAGAGCAAAGTCTGAAGAAGGGAAAATGAGTGTTTCAACTCAGCAATCTGAACCTCCTCCACTTAATGAATCCCTGCCTCCAGCTTCCAAAGAAGATGAGTCTTCTCTTCCATCCACTGAAACTCAGGTAGGCTTTGTAAAGTGATGCCACTCCTTTTATTGTGCTAGATAGGACAAAGAAACAGGAAAACAATGCCATCAAGTTCTTGTATATACTGTGTAACAATAACTAAATATGGTGAAGCAATCTTAAAAGAACGTTTGCTAAGGCTGCACCAATTTAAAAAATAAAAATACACACCTTATATATAGACTTAAATGGTCACCCACACATGCACCAAGCAAGTCCAAGCTTCACTCACACCTTCCCCAATGCTGTTGTCTTTGTCTGTGAGAAACATTTTGTGATACCTAAGCGCAAAATCCAAGTATTCGATAGATGAGGAATACTATCTTCAAGACACTAGTTCTTTATTCCTCTCTGGCAGTTTGCCAATTCTGGCTCCCCTTCTCTATGTGTGTTATAGCTTGTCTGAAAGCCAGGAACTTTGCACAGAGTATTTTTGTCAGCATGCTTAGTAACAGTTACTACATAATGGATGGAGGTCATGATTGATGTTTGAACAGGTTACTGTAGGGTAGTAGATTACCCTGCAGCATGTGCTCCACTTCAGCTTACAGTATGTGCCTTCCTATCAAGTGGCAAAAATATTGCACTCTGAGTTACTTTACCTCACCATGAAAAACCACTGTTGTCTCATTATATTTGCTGTGAGCAACAGATAAGAGATCTGCATTAATCTTTTTCCTGTAGGTAGTTTCTGTATATATGAATACTGTAATTGCTATCAGCCTAACCTTTAGATCAGGCTGTTCACATTAAGAATAAATTAAATAAAAATCAGCCTTCCAGAAGCTGTGGGTGGCCAGAACACTGAAATATAGAGTGATAAAACAACGAACACTGAGAAAGTTCCTGTAGACTGGTTAGTGACCAAGTATGGTTTTTCTTCTGACAGAAGGAGCTTTCCTTTATTTATAGCATTTGCCTTTTTCTCTAGCTCAATATTGAACCACCTGATGACCCCGAGGAAGATTTGAGATTGCAGCAGTTGCAAGCAGCAGCAGCTCAATGGCAGCAGCATCCCCATCACCGGGTTGGATTTCAATATCAGAGAATAATGCAGAAGCATGCCCAGCTGCAGCAGATAGTACAGCAGTATCAACAGATCATGCAACAGCCGCCACACTTACAGGTGAAACACTAAGGAAATGTGTTTGATATACTTCCCGGGTGACCCAGCACTCATGGTCTGCTGAAAAACAAGTAGTTGAATAATTTGTCATGGTTGGCTCATTTAGCTACTTTTTCTGCTTGGGTGGAAGTCTATATCCCCTTTTCCTACTGTCACTCAACTTCAGAATGAAAAAAGAATTGACAGATGGTGATGAAGCTTCAGCAGGATGAGAAATACAGGACTTTACACTTGTCTTAAGATTTTTCAGACATACTTGGGTGGTACAGAAGCAAAGCTGAACACAATATTGAATTTACTTGGCTTTGAATGTTTTACTGCTGGAGAAACAGTTCAGAAGAAAGGTCAAGTAAACAGATGATTGCATGGAGTAATTTGGTAGCTGCTCTTTTTTACAATATTGTGTAGTACAAAAATAAATATGTACAATGATGAAGTAAACATAGATGCCAAAAATACACAGTTAAAGTAATTAAGAAAATCAGTCTCACATTATTTACTCAAATGATCAGTGAAATAAAATAAAAAGTCTTAATAACAAGTTTGGATAATTGTATCAGTTGCAACCTTTAAGCTTTTAAGTAGAATTTGATTACTGTATTAGAGAGGTGAGTCAGCTTTTTCTAGGTTGGTGGAGTTTGTACATTAAGCATTTCTTTGTAGCTTGGGCTGTCTGCTTGTTTAAAAAAAAATCTCTTAAGTGTGAACCCTGAAAATCTGAGACAAGATCAAGCCGTGGATATTAGGACCTGTATCTACACATAATGAAAGACAGCCTTGAAAGAAGCCTTATTTTGTCAGATCTTCTTATTTGCACAGGTTTAGAGAAAAGTAAGTGCTGACAGCTGAAGCAACGATGAGCAGGTTAATAACAGCAACTGAAGCCTTGAGAAATAGCCATGTACTGTATGTATTGAAAGCATGAAGATTGATCTCGGCTTTAGCTGTTGTTAGCATCCGGTAATAATACAGCTTGGACCCCTTTTATTATAGCTTTCTTCAGCTGTCCTGTTTAAAAAAAAACAAATACACACACACAAAAACCTTTTATACATAAATGTCCTCTAGTTATAAAATGTGTAAGTTGTCACAATGACTTTAGACATCACAGTTCATGTTTGCTTTTGTTTCAATGTAGTTCTTCCTCAACCTTCTGTCCAAGTCAGAAATTGTGATATTACGAGTGATACTGAAATACGTGGCTCTGAAAATAACTAAGATGGTATTTTGAAGCTATTCTTGTGTTCTCATTGCAGACAATGTCAGTGGACATGCAGCTGCGACATTATGAGGCACAGCAAAAACAGTTCCAGCAGCTTCATAAGGATTGGGAGCGATCAATGAACCAACAGTGGCAGCATCAGCTTCAAACCTACCCTCACAAAGACCAGCTTCAAGAGTATGAGAAACAGTGGAAAGCATGGGATGAACAGATGAAGGTTACTCAGTCCCATCTGCAGGAGAAAGTGAGCTCACTTCAAAATCTGAAGAATCAGTACCCTGCAAATGTTTCGCTGCCACCTCCATTTGTTCCATATTCTCAAACCACTCAAGGTGGCATTCCTGTTATGCCTCCAACTTTACCTTCAACTACGCCTCCACTGGTCCCCCCACCTCTGTCTTCTGTTTCTCAGTTATCTAATTCCTCTGTCCCTTCAGGATCCAGTTCTCAAAGCAGTCAATCTACTGAGACACCAAGGCCAGCTCTGCTTCCCACCCCTGGTACCTATGCATCAAAAATAGCTAGTTCAACTGTCTATTCACCTTATCATTCTCAAGTAAGTTCATCCTTTGGCTCTTCAGACCATGGAAAGTCTCAAGGTCATCTTAGTAAACAAACTGTCCCTATTTCATCTGAGCAAGGATGTGGGGAACTGAAAGCCACTTCTGCAGTGTCTTCAACTCATGCACCTACCATGCAGGATAAACCAGTGAGGTCAGGTGGATTGCTTCCCGATCCTCCCAGATCAGCACGTTTTGAAGGCCCCAGAGGCCCTAGGTAAGGATGTTTTTGATTTATACATGTTCCAGGCTACAAGACTTTCAGTGATATATTAAGAAATGAAATATGTATCTTATTCTTAAATCTTCCTGAGGTCGTGTGAAGTGTGCTTGTTTGGTGGGGGTTTTGTTTTTGATGTATGTACACCGTGCTCTGTATTTATTTTATTAAAGCAAGAATAGATAGATGCCTTTCACCTGAGAATTATCTAGAATAGATTTTTTTTTTTTTTTTCCCTAGTAAAATGCTTGGGCACACTGCACCCTTTTCATTCCTGGAGACATAATCTCCCTTTTGGGAAAACAGGAAAGCTGTTGTAAATATTTGATATGTCTTTGCTGTCCTTAGTTTGAAGATGATAACTCACACTTGAAAGAGTGATCCTGTATGAAAAGTGATTTAAATTCCCAGCATTTTGTCTGTGGTACTTGGAACACGGTTTAGGATAATCTAAACTAAAAATGTTGAAGGGTCGTTTTTCAGGTGTTGCTCTATGTGGTAGCAATTTAATGTAGGCATTCTGAAAGGGATTGAGGAAAGTATTCAGATATTCAGCTGAATATACTAACGTAGCTAATTACTGGCAATTTAGATGCTATTTATTTTTTAGAAACAATAAAGTTTGTAATCCAACATGTATTACAGAAAGATACGAGAATTCAAAGCTGTTCACCAGTACTTTACCTTCTAGTGTGAGAGTTCTGCAGCTATATGATTGTCCTATTCAGTGCACTTTTCAAAATGGCAGTTTGATGAGAGAGATAGTGCTTGTCTTAAGTACAAGTCAATGGTTTTCTACACATGTAGCATTACTTAGCATTCAAACAGTTACAAACAGAAGAGAAGGAAAGAAATGAAGATTTGAGCCTTAGGATCTGAGCATTAGGATTCTTCGCCGCTTTTTCTTTTGCATTACGTCATGATGGTCTTGGTTTTGTTGTCTGTTGGTTGCTGTCTTTATCTTTTGGTAAGGTACAGTTTTGTTCAAATTTAAAATTTCATTTTATCAGGTGGATGACCTGCTGCCTTAATGTAAAGCTACTCTAAAAGTCAGTGTTTCCATGTCTTTTATGTGGTTTTATACCTGCTAATGGCTTAATCCAAGGTCTTGGGTTTGGAATATTTTTCTTTCATACTTGACATGGTATCAAGTTGCAAAACCAATATCTGTTCTGTCTGATCATTAGTTCAAGATGGGTTGATGTGATGCCTACTGAATCAAAGAACAGTGTTGTTCTGTTCAGTTGTGTCTATCCTTGCATACTCAAGGTTCACATGGGCCCACTTCTCGAGCTTGTCCAGGTCCCTCTGGATGGTGTCCCATGCCTCAGGTGTGTCAACTGCACCACTCAGCTTGGTGTTGTCTGCAAACTTGCTGAGGGTGCACTCGATCCTACTGTCTATGTCATTGTTGAAGATATTAAACAGTACTGGTCCCAATACGGACCCCTGAGGGACACCACTTGTCACTGATCTCCATCTGGACATTGATCTGTTGACCACTACCCCCTGGATGCAACCATCCAGCCAACTCCTCATGCACTGAACAGTCCCATCCATGAAATCCGTATGTCTCCAATTTAGAGAGAGGGATGTTCTGGGGGACCATGTCAAAGGTCTTACAGAAGTCCAGATAGATGACATCTGTAGCTCTTCCCTTGTCCACTGATGTAGTCACTCCATGATAGAAGGCCACTAGGTTGGTCAGGCAAGACTTGCTCTTGGTGAAGCCACACTGGCTGTCTCGAATCACCTCCCTGTCCTCTATGTGCCTTAGCATAGCTTCTAGGAGGATCTGTTCCATGATCTTCCCAGGCACAGAGGTGAGGCTGACAGATTGGTAGTTCCCAGGGTCTTCCTTTCTACCCTTTTCAAAAATGGGTGCAATGTTTCCCTTTTCCCAGTCACTGGGGACTTCACCTGACTGCCATGACTTTTCAAATATTATGGAGAGTGGCTTATCAGCCAATTCCATCAGGACTCTGGAATGCATCTTGTGAGGTCCCATAGACTTATGTATGTTCAGGTTCCTCAGGTGGTCATGAACCTGATCTTTTCTTACAGTGTGAGGGACTTTGCTCCCCCAGTCCCTGTCTTGCAGTCCATCCACCGAAGAGGTGTGGAAAGAGAGGCTGGCAGTGAAGACTGAGGCAAAAAAGTTGTTGAATACCTCATCCTTCTCCTTGTCCACTGTTACCAGTTTGCCAGTCATGTTCATCGGGGGGGGGGTCCGCTTTCTTTGTTCTTCCTTTTCTGGCTGACATACCTATAGAAGCCCTTCTTGTTACTCTTTGCATCCCTTGCCCAGTTCAGCTCCAGCTGCACTTTGGCCTTCCTGACCTCATCCAGTGAGACGCAACTGTGAATCCCAACCATCCAAGCAGCTTGACTTCAGACATGAGTTCTCTATTTTGTGTAAAATGAATTTAATTTGTTCTAGATAAATATGATTGCATGAATTATTCATTAGTTTGCCTGACCCATTTCCTCATGTTCAATAATAGTTCTAACTGCTCTCAAAAAGAATTTAAAAAGTGATGCAATAAAAATATATTTGTTTTAGGCATATTATCTTGCGTGGAACTGGGCAATATCACAGTTTGTTGCACTTTCTGAAAGGATCTGTATTTAAAGATTTATCTAGATAGCATTCATCACCATAGTTAAGTAGGCTTGTTGCATATTATCAAAACAAAAGTTCAGTGAGAGTTGTTGTTTGCAACAAAACTTCTGTTAACAAACATTGAAAGCTTTTTTTCAAATGAGTGCCAGCTTTCTGTGTCAGTCAGGTTTCAGTCCTGAGATACTTAAGCCAAATTTCCTTTTAGGGTTACATAACCTGCAAGTGGCTTAAACTGGTCTTCAGTGGACAATATTGAATTGAAGAACATGTCTGTGCTTCTGCACTGGTTCAGTAGGGATTGATCCTAAGGCATACTAGGATTCATCAGTTAGAAGTGACTTTGGGGGGGGTGTGAAACTCCTAGAGGATTTTAACTTGACTTGTTCATTTGAATAAAATTGCCATTATGTCATCTATAGATTTGATGGACCTCGAGGAAGAGGATATGACAAATTTGAAGGCTCGAGACAGAGAGGGCCTCGTTTTGACTCCCAGCGCTCAGAAGGATACAGGTCACGTTTTGACCGACAGAATACAGATGGACAGTCTTCAAGTAGATGGGGGACTATCCCACGAGGACCAGCAGCACAATTTTATACTTCGACAAATGCATCACATGGACATGGTTCCCGACCTGGTGGTCCACGGTGGAGGGGGCCCAGGCCTCATTTGGGACAGCAGCAGTCACAGACAGATTCACAGTCAGAAAACAAAGAACCTTTTACAGACATAGCTGGCAATCAGCAGACTGTAAGCAGAACACAGTCTACTCCTGATGCACAGAGTGCAGGTCCTGTTGAGCCAAATGAGGACCTGACAAACACTCCACAGGAACCATCGAAACCTGAAGTCAAAGAAACTATTTCAGATCCTCCCAAAAAGTGGACGTGGAGTTCACATGATCCTAACCAGCAAGTAGAAGAGTCCAAAGCCCCTACTCCGCCTATTCAGAACCAGAAATCAACATGCCTTTCTAGTAACCCTGTAGCTTTGCAGTCAGGTATTGCAAGAACAGGTGGTACAGTAACCCCTGTAACAGGAAATCAGGATTTGGATTCACCAGATAGCCAGTTGATTGCTTCAGATAGCACCCAGGGCCTACCTGGACCAGAAAGCAGAGGGAAAGGGTCATTTATGCATGAAGATAGAGGCAAGGGACCAGTAAGCAGAGGAAGGGGCCAGGGCAGACTGGATGATGGCCGTGGCAGAGGGCAGGGGGATGGCCGTGGCTGGGGAATGGGCCGTGGCCGAGGGATGGGGAGGATGGATGGTGGCCGAGGGATGGGGAGGATGGATGGTGGTCGGGGTATGGGAAGGATGGATGGTGGTTGGGGAATGGGCAGGATGGACGATGGCCATGGCCGGGGAATGGGCAGGATGGATGATGGCCGTGGCAGAGGATATGTATACAGAGGTAGAGGGCAGGCTAGGCAGGCATCCATCCGCGGCAGGGGTATGTTCAGGAGAGCAGGCAGCCGGGAGAGGATGCCAGATAGGCGGTCAGGCAGCCGGGAGAGGATGCCAGATGGACGGTCTGGCAGCCGAGAGAGGGGACTGGGTGGACGGTCAGATAGCCACGAGAGGGTATTCTCTAGCCGAGACAGAGAGCTAGCTGGGCGGACAGGCAGCCGGGACAGGGGACGGGCAGGGAGCCGGGAGAGAGGCCCAGTGAGGCGGGCGGGTAGCCGGGAGAGGGAGCCCATGCGGCGGGCGGGTAGCCGGGAGAGGGAACCCATGCGGCGAGCAGGTAGCCGGGAGAGGGTCCCCATCAGGCGGGCAGGTAGCCGGGAGAGGGTCCCCGTCAGGCAGGCAGGTAGCCGCGAGAGGGGTCCAGTCAGGCGGGCAGGTAGCCGCGAGAGGGGTCCCATCAGGAGGGCAGGTAGCCGGGAGAGGGAAGCAGGAAGATCTGAAACAGGCAATATAGATAAACCCATTCACCTAGGAGATGATACTGACAAATTGGCTCCATACCATCGAGATGAGACACTCAGGGGTTCTTGGGGTCATGAAGATGATAGAATGCAGGAGGAATTTCCTTTAGATAGTCAAGATGACCCTTCTTTGGAGCATGAGCGATTGGATGACTGGGAAAGAGAACGATACTGGAGAGATCACAACTCTGATTATCAGGATGATTCTGTAGATGCTTATGACAGAGATGACAGGTTGCAACCCCACCATTCATTGCCTCCATTATCTCCCTTGCCACCACTACCTCCTTTATCATCTGATCACGACAGACGAGATTCGTGGTGGGATGACTGGAAAAGACCAAGAGAGAGGGAACTCGAGAGAGATCTAGATAGGACTGGAAGATCCTCAGATATTTATGATCAAGATTTAGACAGAGAATGGGATAGAGACTGGGACATGAGACCTATGGATGACAGAGAAATGGGGAATCGTGACCTGGATATCCCCCCTCTACCACCATTACCACCTCTTCCACCTCTGGACAGATACCGTGAAGATAGGTGGAGGGAGGACAGGAACAGAGATCATTATGACAGAGACCTCCGAGACAGGGGGGAGCTGAGGATTCGAGAGTATCCAGAGAGATATGACACATGGCGGGAGAAGCAAGACTACCTTCCTGAAAGGACTGACTGGGAGAGGGAACGGTTGTCAGATAGGTGGTATCCAGATGATGGAGACAGACTGCGGTCTTTAGATGATCATTCAGATTCATCCCTTCCTCCACCTTCACATTCCTCTGATATGCTGGGAGCGGATTCAAACCTGGACTCTGACCAGTCCTTGGGAGGAGTGATGGTCCTTAGCCAAAGACAGCATGAGATAATTCTGAAGGCTGCCCAGGAGCTCAAAATGCTTAGGTGAGTTGCCTGGTTCTGTCACTTTGGGTGGGAATTCCATTCTGTGGAGATGGTGCTCCTTTACTAATTCGTTCCTTGATTTATGCAGTAATGGCTTCATTTCTTTTCGCCACAGCATGATAGTAGAAGCTCATGTGGAACAAGTTATTAGAAGTACCTCCATCACAGCTTTTGTGGATTGACTTTTTTCTTAAACAGATGGTTGTCCCTTTCCCCATGGATATGCTATCCCCTGTTTGTTACTTTCCAGGAAGATATCTGTCCACATCACCTGACCAATCTTTTTGTTATCCTCAAATGAGCTTGTTGATAACTGCTTTTTAATACTTGTATGTCAAGATCTACATTAATGTGGTTCTTAATTCACACAGTGGGACCTGTTTGATTTTTGATACGGCTTACTTTTCAATTAAAGCATATGTGGGTTTTTTCTTTTTTCTTTTTACAATGCTCCCTCCTTTGAAATCCAGCATCATCAGTGAATAATTTTGTCAAGTTTGGTTGATCTTAGTTCTGAGGATCAGCATAACAGCAGTGATAACAATCAGGAGGATATGAATGCAAGAGTTCACCAAGACCACATTTGAGAAAGCAACTATTAGACTCCCTAAGGCTTTAATAGGTATTTATTTCGAAATAAGTAATAATCCTCTTAAACATCAGAAACATCCTAGGGCTCAGTAAATTTAGTAATAGCAGAATGAATGGAGCACGTATCATCTGTCCCAATGCTATCTTTGCAATTTGGTGCATGGGTTTAGGTGCATTAAATGTTTTTGTTGGTTTTTTTTTTAAAAAAAAAGGAAAGATGAGTTTCTTTGACTATTTCGGTGAATGAGATTTTTCAGAGGAGATTGTAGAGAAGAGAGGAAGCATCTTGGAGACAGAGGTTCATGTGGTTCATCCTATTCATGAGTTTCTGAGAGACAGCTAAGGATTGGTGCCTGGTAAAGACAGGGGTTTCATTTCATAAACAAGATATTATACTGTGGTGGGTTGACCCTGACTGCATGCCAGGTGCCCACCAAAGCTGCTCTATCACTCCCTCTCCTCAACTGGACAGGGAATAGAAAATATAACAAAAGGCTCATGGGTCGAGATAAGGACAGGGAGAGATCACTCAACCAATTACTGTCATGGGCAAAACAGACTCAACTTAGGGAAAATTAACTTAATTTATTACCAATCAAACCAGAGTATGGTAATGAGAAATAAAACCAAATCTTAAAACACCTTCCTCCCATGCCTCCCTTCTTCCTGGGCACTGCTTCACTCCCGAATTCTCTACCTAGCCCCCTGAGCAGTGCAGGAGGACAGGGAATGGGGGTTACAGTCAGTTCATCACAGGCTGTCTCTGCTGCTTCATCCTCTTCGGGGGCAGGACTCCTCACACTCTTCCCCTGCTCCAGCATGAGGTCCCTCCCATGGGAGACAGTCCTCCACAAACTTCTCCAACGTGGGTCCTTCCCACAGGCTGCAGTCCTTCAGGCACAGACTGCTCCAGTGTGGGTCCCCCGTAGGGTCACAAGTCCTGCCAGAAACCTGCTCCAGCGTGGGGTCCTCTCTCCACAGATCCATGGGTCCTGCCAGGAGCCTGCTTCAGCGTGGGCTTCCCATGGGGTCACAGCCTCCTTCGGGCATCCACCTGCTCCGGCGTGGGGTCCTCTCCGGGCTGCGAGAGGATATCTGCTCCACCATGGACCTCCCTGGGCTGCAGAGGACAGCCTGCCTCACCATGCTCTCCCCCATGGGAGCAGGGGAATCTCTGCTCCAGCACCGGGAGCACCTCCTCCCCCTCCTTCTTCACTGACCTTGGTGTCTGCAGGGCTGTTTCTCTTACATGTTCTCACTCCTCTCTGCAGCTGCAGTTTCTGTGTTGCAGCAACTTTTTTTCCCTTCTTAAATACGTTACCACACAGGCGCTGCCACCATCACTGATGGGCTCAGCCTTGGCCAGCGGCGGGTCTGTCTTGGAGCTGGCTGACATTGGCTCTGTCAGACATAGGGAAAGCTTCTAGCAGTTTCTCACAGAAGCCACCCCGTAACCCCCCAGGTACCAAAAGTTGCCACACAAACCCAATACATATGCTAAAATAATGGGCAATTAAAATGAATGTTTTGTTATCATTATTGCACTTTAAACCATGCTGAAAGATAACAGAGACATTTTGCACTTTTCTTGAAGCTGTTTTGTTTTCAGACTCATAAGATTGCTAAGCATCTGTCCCATACAGAGGGCCTTAGTTGCATGCCAAAATGCAAGAAAAATGATTTTTAAAAAGGAAGGGAGAACTTTTTTTCTGAATAATTTAATCTTTCACTGCAATTAGATTAATCCAAGAGTTTGGAGCAACAGATCATTTTCAGCTTCCTGACTTTCCCATTGCCTCAGGTTGCCAGGTATATGCTTTGCTGTTTAATGTGACTAGCTGCAAGCCAGTGGACTTAAGCTAAGGACCATAGTTTGTGAATCACTACTTGAGTAATTTATTAGGGCTGAGATACTTAAACATAGAAACTAAAATGGTTTTTGTAAGAAAGTAGATACATATACCTCTTTCTAATCCAGTAGAAAGGGGAAATATAAACATGATACTGCTGATACTGATTTTTAATTGAATATGGGAGTAATCTTAAAATTAGTTACACTGGTACTTCTCATCAGGTTCTTATATGCAGATGACCCCAGTCTGAACAGTAGGAACAACTTTAAGGGAAACTGCTTATGATTTTTTTTTTCTTTCTTTGAACAAAGAGTTATACCAGTAGTGTGGTACATAACTGCTTTCATCTCAAAGGTAAAGCCTTTATCTGGCTTTGCTTTTATTGTGTATAAAACAGCATACTCTGAGCTGCATGCTGTTCTATATTTGTCATCTGGTGTATTTTTCCTAAGCCAGGTGTAAAGAAGACATAAGTGCTAGCAATTGCTTGTTTTTATTCTTTGTACTAATGCAGCACTTGGGATCCCTTCCTGTAAGCCAAGTTCCCCTTGTGCTGGACACTGGACAGATGCATTGCTAGTTAGGATGGTCTCTGTTGTGTCTAGTACAGAGGAATCCCATTCTTAGTTTTTCTTTGGGAACTACTTTAATACACACAATTAATATGAACAAAGAGTTATTAGCAATAAAAAACCCTAGTTAAAAAAATGCTAACAAAAACTGAAAGGAAAGGAAATCATATTCAATAGAACTTTGTAATCCAGTGGTTGTAGTATTCACTGCTGGTCCTGGTCTCTGCTCCATAGCTTATGTACTGGTTGTATATTAAATAGCATTTTGATACATAAAACAAGGAAACAAAAGTTAAAATCATCGTTTGGTTTTTAAGTATTGGAATCTCTGTTGTGCTTTGGCCTTAATCCTGTTAGCATGTGAACCAGAGCGCTTATGCACTCATTTCCAATGGACTTCTTGTTTGCAGGTGTTGGCAGAAGCTAAAAATCCAGCTTTGCTCTTTACTGTCAAAGTGGAGTGGCTCTGGCTAAGCACAAAAGCATAACTGCATGTCTCGGGAAACTTGTGATCAAAAAAGGATAGAGCTAATGCACTAAATACCTCCATGGTTACGTGGATGTGAAACGGATTTCTGAATCACAGCATTGACTATATAAAGCCTGCTGTGTCCTTTTCTTTGGACTCGGCCCCTGATGTTAGTGTAATACATGGTTTTCACTGTGACTACTGATTCCTTTAATTTTTCATTTAAGCTACAGACTGATAACACTTTCTTGTGATTCATGTGCAGAGAGCAAAAGGAACAGCTACAGAAGTTGAAAGAGTTTAAACCTGACATTTCCACACAGGACTCTCCGAGATCACAGAACACAAGCACAAGGCCAGGTGCCTTTCAGGTAAATTCATCTTGTATTAACTTAGTAATATGCTGGTAGTAATTACTATTAATGTGTATGTCAGATCAGTTCTACACTCTAATGGTCAAACTTCTCTGTGGAATGCCTCCCCAGCAGCCCTTACAACCTCATCAATTCTCTGTTGAGGCAAAGCAACTTCTTAGTTTCTTGAGATTTTTCAAAGCCTTTTCTACTCATTCAGTCCACCATGTTTTCTGAGCATGACCCATTAGGGACAGTAGTGCATGAGGTTCAACAGCCTACATTGCTGTGGGTTGATGTGCAAGAACAGGTGAGCTCTTCCAAAACAGGGGCATAAGGCTCCTGTTCCTTGCCTAAGTTCTGACATCTTGCTCTGCTTTTCCTACTTTAAGAGCTCTCTCCTCTTTGAATTTAGAGAAATTTGAGGATAGGTCCATCAGAAACTGAGATATTTCAGTGTAGAGTGGGCATTAGCTTTCTGTTTGCTGTCTTTATTGGGAATTCTCATTACCTTCTGGAATATCATAAAGTATATGGAAGCTCACATTTGTGTACCTCCATGACTTCATCTCCTGTTGTGATGCAAGTCATTCCTCTCCTGCTTAATCTCCTGGTTGGTTCTGGAAACAATTCTTAGCTGCTTATATTTGTTTTTTTTATAATTTGTACCCAGTCAGAAACCAACTGAACTTCTGCAGTCATGTTAACTCAGGTTTATAAATCCTTCCTAGAATGAATAAACAGTTTAGTTAAATGTATGTTGGAGGAGATAACCCGAGTCGATGCACAGTCTTTATTCTTCATCACATTTTAACCCAAAAGTTACTGGTACCAATAAATTTAGCCCTAATGACCTCTGGGTCTGACATTTAGCCAGACCAAGCTTTGTTTGTCCCTCCCTCCAGAGAAGTGTTATGCAGTGAATAAGGCACTTCAAGTTTTCTTTTTGCCTAGGTGACCTCTTCCTTGTTTACAGTGTCTATAAAGTAAAATAGTGGAACAGTTTTGCCACCAAGAGCTGCAGGTATGTTGATGCCTTTAGGAAGAAGTGACTTTACTGAACTTTGATACAAAGTATCTCAGACTACACCCCTCTGCCTAGAGGTATTCCAACAACTCTTGTCTTTCTTGGGATTCCTGCCTTCAGATTTCTGCTGTGACTTTGAACTGCTATTACAAAGTTCAGCTCTGTATCTACAACCGTTCTGCAAGTTTTGTTGCGTGTTGCTAATAAGGCTGCCTGTAACTTGGCATCTGGTGTGATGCTGAAAATACTCTTGAGACACAGCACTTGAGGTTCCATAGGGGTGTTTGGTTCATGAAGGGGGTTCTGTTTTATTTTGTTTTTTTCCACTGGGCAAGACCTCCCCATTTCTTATGTTTATCTCATGTTGATTTCATTATGGGGTTTCCAGGTGTTTCTGCTTTCTGGGAATTTTTCCAGTGACATCCAGAAAGAAGCTGGCCTTATCAATCCTTTTGTGCCTCACCAAGCTGCCCTACTTTCAGACTTTTTCAGCCTCCTCACAGACAGCAGGAATCTTTGCAGACAGCAGGAGTGTTCGGGAATAAAACCATAGACACTTTTGAACTGAGATAGGCCTACTGGAGCTTAAATTGGTAAGGTTATTTTGAAGCAGAAAATAAATAGTATTTAAGTCTTCACATAGTGAACAAACACCAAATTAATTCAGGCCACCAGTTCTTGAAATATTGTCCTCCTACCTGTAGCATCTTGATGGAGGTACTAGAAAATGCTTATGATTTGATTACCGATTGCCATTGTGCTTACTGACTTACAGAGGATGAGAGAAGGTTAGTTTACAGATCTACATTAAAAGTGCTTTCTGCATCTAGGTCTCTTCTCAGCTATCTTCAGAGGCACCAGTAGAAGCCCAAGCTATTAAAGCTTCTCCTGCTGTTATTATAAAGCCTCCCGTGTTGTTCAGACAGCCCACCCCTGTGACAAGACCAAGTGCCCCACTGACAAGGCCTGCTACACCTATGACAAGGCCACATGCTCCAGTTTCTACTCCAACTACAACCCCAAGTCATGGTCAGTCTTTAAAACCATCACCTTCTACTGTGGAACAGGAACGCTGGGATGAGGATTCTTTCCATGGACTCTGGGACACAAATGAGGATAAAGGAGCAAATATGGAGTACGAGTTGTGTAAACAGGAGTCAATGATGCCTCCAACTGTCTCCTCGCCTGTGAAAGTACCTGCCGTTCACACCTCTGTTCCGTCAGCTGTACCAGTGTCCCTTCCTCCAGTTATTCCTCCGGTTCCTAAAGCACCTGTAATTCAGCAAACTGTGGATTATGGCCACGGGCGAGGTGGGTACTACAGTGTATTTTTTTGATCTGTAAAGGAGAGCTAATTAGTCCTCCTAGCTTCTTTCTAAAGGAGTGTGCCATGCAAAGCATGCCATAGATGTTCTGCAGCTGACCTGTAGGCCACTTACATTGCGATCTAATGCTAAGCAATTCAGTTTTAAGGAGTCTGTAACCTCCAGCCTTGAGTTTAATGTTTTCTTCAGTGCTGTGATTATGAGCTATTTTGTGTGAACTGAATGGTGTATAGCTATGTCCACTTCTAATAAACACCAACTGATGTGATCACATTAATGTGATATGTTTAGATTGATATTGATACTTCCCTTAATCCCTTTGTGGCTGAGTATGGAAATAACTGTGCTAGAATGTACTTTGGATTGTTACAGTTCTTAGGGGTGACTTAGTAACTTAAAACAGAATGTGACTGGTGTTTGCATTATTTATATACTGCTTAATGGGCGTGAAGTACCCTCTAGATAGGGAGGGAGACAAAGTCCTAGGTCTGAAGGTGTGCGCCCTAAACAGTCATTTAATACATAAAAAGTGATGGGCTCTGACATTTAGTATTGAGCTTATCAAAGCTAAAATTCAACACTAGTTCTTTAATAGAATTAATTTCCCTCATTCTTAGTTTTTAACAGTGAAATCATGTTGTCAAGAAGTTCTTAAATTGTGCATTGTCACTTAAAGAGCATTTTTTTCTCTAAGGTGCCATAACATGAATTGAAGCCATATCAATTCCATTAAGTAGATGTTTTACTAAAAGCTGTTAGAAAAATTTTAACTGAAATGCTTACTTTAGATTCATAACAGTGAAAAGTCTTGACATTACAGTAGTTCTTTGAGTTACTGAAACTTTCAGAGCATTTTAGCATTTATAATCTTCTGACTGTGCATGCTACTTGAACTCATCTGAAAAGGCAGAATTCCCATTCTTAAGATAAAGTGGTATGCGTACTTACACACACACACACACACACACACTAAAGCTTCAGACTTTAAAAACTATGGTGTTACATATTTATGTATATCTCTTTTTGCATTATCCATTACAAGAAATTTGGTAAGTTATTCCAGACACTTTTAATGCCATTGACTGATTGCTTTTCATGATAGAGGAAAGGAAATGGAGGAAGGGTATTTTAAGACCTTTATTATTTTTTTTGTTATTTTTAACCAGATATAACTACCAGTAAAGTGGAACAGATTCCATATGGGGAGAGAGTAACCCTGCGTCCAGAACCTCTACCAGAGAGGCAAACATTTCAAAAAGGTAGGGAGCACTTGGCTAGCTCTCAGACAGTTAGCTAGTTCATAAGAAAAGTTTTAAGGCACTAAAAGTGTATTTTAAACTAAGTAACTCTTGTTTAAGCTACAACCACTTTATTTTCTTCAGAGGCCCATAAGAATAACAGTTTATATTGTCAAGAGAAGTAATTCAGTCAATGACCTAGCCACTTTAAAAATTCAGTTTTCTAGCTTTAAGTAGGATTGCATGGTACAGTTGTCTGTTACAGTTTGGAAAAGAGATTCAGTGGCTGATTAAATCCATTCTAGCCCTCACCTCATATGTTTCTGTATACTTTTCTTGTACTCTTGTTTGTTGCTTTTTCTTCAAAAATAATAAAAAATTCAGAGTATCTTTTAGTGGTTTGGATTTCCATGGGTTTCTCCTTTCAGAGCACCCTGGTCGTTACAACCGAGAAAGAGATCGTGAGCCTTATTTTGAGCGTCAGGGTAATTCCAACACAGATCATCGGGATTTCAAGAGAGAGCGGGAATTGCACAGAGACCGTGGTTCTGTGGACTATGAACGAGAGAGATTTGAAAAAGAGCGGCATCCCCGAGATGATAGGTACGTGGTTTTGGAAGACTATTGAAATCAATGCAATTCAGGCTGTATTGAGTATTAGGCTGTCCATTTTGCCTGTGAGGTGCGTGTTCATTTCTTTCTGGAATCCATAGTAGAAATTCTAGAAATATGCAACATACTCTTTTTCACAGGGTTCTTCCTACTACACCTTCAAGGACTCAGTCTTACCGTGACAAGAAGGACCATCCCTCTTCCAGGCGGGGTGGTTTTGAGAGACCACCATATGAACGAAAGACAGATCGCCCAGCATATGATCATGGGCCTTCCATGTTTGGAGGTACAGTTTCTCAATCTTGAAGCCATGATAGAATATTACAAGAAATACAGCCTTGCAGAGGTGAAGATTAATTGGGTGAAGATTAATTGATTTGCAGTATTCTTTGTTCGGAATATATAATTCAGGAAAATTTATTTGGGTGGTGTCATGTAGTTTTGTTTCTCAGTGGTGATGAGATTAGGAACGCAACAGTTACATACTCTGCTAAAAAATGTCTTTGATTGCAATAGGCTCAAGATTAGAAATTTGAATTATATGGGGGACAAATCTGTGAATTTATTCTAAAATAATGCAGGTCTGTTTAAATCAGCTCAGCTGAGTATGAACATCTTAATTTTTTTATTTTACTGAACTAAGAAAATTCTTCTGTCCAAACACTGGAATTTGAAGGTGATCGTAGAAATTACCCTGAGGAAAGGATTCCTATTTCTGCTCCGTCAATGCCCCGTCAGCCACCACCTGCTCCACGAGTGGAAAGGAAACCAGAATCTAAAAATGTAGATGATATTTTGAAGCCACCAGGACGGGATAGCAGGCCAGAGAGGGTGAGTATGCATTCTGAAAGCAACAATCAGTTTCTGTGAGGTCTGTATTCAGATAAAATGCTCATGAGTGTAGTATGTTGGGAACAAGCCTACATTTGAGGAAGCTCTGGAAATTTCTCTTGGTTTCTTTGCACATGCCTAGAGTGTTGTAGTATAGCTATTAGGAGTCCACAGGAGATGTAAACTTCCTGGGAATGCTAAGATTAAATTCCTATTAGTGGGTAACATTAATGTATTTTAGACACTTCTGAGATCTTCACTTGGGTTTTCAATGTATCAGAGGAGAGACTTGGCTTTACACAGAGTCAGAGATTTGGCAACGCACCATATAAAATAAGAACGAACAAGGTACAGGCTATAAAACATTTAGACAAGTTTAATTCAGTTAATTGTACCTGAACCAGATCTGTAACATCTTATGCAGTATAAGCTGCTGAGATGATTAACATCATATGCTCTTATTCTGTGGAACTACTACCATTCCTCACAACCTGGTTTGTAAAATAGGCAGTAAGGGATGGTACTGGCTTTGCTTGATGGTATGCAAAAGTGTGAGCCCAGAGCACATAATTTTCTAGAAGAAAACTTCTGCAAAAGAGATTCTGTTAAATGTAGTACAGTATCCTGTCTTCTTACATGATATTTGTTTCAGATTGTAATCATAATGAGAGGGTTGCCCGGCAGTGGAAAGACACATGTAGCAAAACTCATCAGGGTATGTAAACAACTGCTCCCTGTGTAGTGCTGTTTGCCTTTTACGTGCGCTTCCTCTGCTGTTTTCTTTCTGTTTTTCTGGAATTTCAGCCTGTTGTTATTTCATGTTCCATGTCTTCATATGGCACGTAAATCCCCTCTGCTATTAGCAAGCATGAGGGATACTGCTCTCTTCTTGTTTTGAATATAGAGCAGGGTACTGCTGTGTCTGCCAAAAGTGTTTTGAAGATCCTCTGTAGCAGAATGGAATTTTTACAGCAAGAGTATATGTTTTCTTTTTGCTTTCTTCCCAGGATAAGGAAGTAGAGTGTGGAGGACCTGCACCAAGAGTGCTCAGCCTGGATGACTATTTTATCACTGAAGTGGAAAAAGAAGAGAGAGACCCAGATACAGGGAAAAAAGTGAAAAAGAAGGTACTTTTAATTCAGTTGTTTATCTTGACAAAGAAACAAGACATTCTGGAACAACACAGTGGCAGTCAGATTTCAGTCTGTGACTTTGGAACAGTGCAAAGGTCTGTGGGCTGTTTTTCAAAACAAGTCAATGTAACTTAAGGGCAGAATGGGCAAATTCTTAAAAGTTGACCTGGAAGATGTTTTTCTCATACCATTGTACTCTGTGGTCATAGCATTCAGCAGTTGAACATCAGCAATTTAATAGGTGTCCTCTTTCTTAAATGCTTTTGTCCTTGATAAAGGTGATGGAGTATGAATATGAAGCTGATATGGAAGAGACCTATCGTACCAGCATGTTTAAAACTTTCAAAAAGACCTTGGATGATGGCTTCTTCCCCTTCATTATCCTTGATGCTATCAATGATAGAGTGCGACATTTTGAACAGTTTTGGAGTGCTGCAAAAACCAAGGGTTTTGAGGTAATGGAGCCTAAAAAGCATTTGAACTTGCTAGCACCCATATGCTGGTATTTCTAAACTTCTGAATACAAAGTCCCTCCCATGTTCGGGAAGAATGCTACAGTTATAAATTTACTTTTCTTAGAATGTACAACTGCAGAGTGTATCACCAGGTAGAAAAAGAGCTCTAAAAGTTGATTTACAATATTTAATATTGTCTTTCTCTTTCTAGGTGTACTTAGCTGAAATGAGTGCAGATAACCAAACATGTTCCAAGAGGAATATTCATGGACGCAAGCTAAAGGAAATCAGCAGGGTAACTGTATACATCTGGAGTCATAGGATTAATGATAAGTTCCGTTGTGCTTTCAGGCCTGCTGTTGTTGGAAAACCATTGACCTCTTTTAGACTACATAATGATTACACTTTTCCTCTAAGAAGAGCTTGTAGTTATTTCATGGGATTGATTGAAATTACTTTTCTTAAGTACAGATACATCTTGTTCATGATCAGAAACCCAATTTTCCATGGAATCTGTTACATTTTCAGAGGTCCTTCATTTTTGTTTGTTTTTTGTTAGATGTCTGATCACTGGGAGGCAGCACCACGTCATATGATGCGCCTGGACATTCGTTCTCTATTGCAGGATGCTGCTATCGAAGAGGTGAGAATCTCTGTGCTTGTTAAAATCACAAATTATGTAGATGTGACTATACTGAAAATACGAAGCAGAGAAAAGTATAGTCATAACAGGGCAGGTATACTTGGCACTGTAGAAAGCCAGAATCACTGTGTCAGACAAATGTATTCCATTTTTCTTATCAATTACCCAAACATGAACATACATGTTGCTTTTTATCACCTTTTTGGAGCCCAAACTTATGCATCTTTGAGCAAGAGTTGAAGCCACTTTGCTCTTAGCAACTGTTGAGTACCAATTAAATAGGATCTTTGCTCTCTCAGGTGAAACTCGGCACTCTTTCAGGTTACTGGATTAATTGGATCATAATTTGGGGAAGTAGTTTAATAAAATAAATAAGTAAAACACCAGATTTGAACTTCTCTCAGTCCCTGCTTTGAGAAATACAGAAATGTAGCAGAGAATGAAGAAAGAAATAAAACACAGCAGTCTACAGCAATACACTTGCTGTAGAAGTATGCTACCTTTTTATTCCATTTGCAGTTTACCATGACATCTTTGGTGTGTCAGCTTTCTGTATTGTTGCATTCTTCTTTGGCAGATTTTTCAGGAGCTCTGGGAATAAATTAGTATGTTAATCATATGGTCATTGTGAATGTAGCTGCATGTTGCTGTCAGAACAGCTCTTGCCATGGCCATATAAACAGGTGAACTGCTGAAGTAGGAAGAGATTTTACTCTTCACAGTTTGTCACGAGGTCGGCAGGTTATTTTTGAATCTCCGTATTCTTTGTTTCGGAAAATATTAATCTTTTAAGAGGACAGCAAAAGGCTCAGCTCTTAAGTAGACTCCGAGAAGGGCAAATCTGGGATTTATTCTGTGTGTACCGAGGTTTTACTAATAGTATGAAGAACTGTACATACTTGGAGAGTTTTAGGTATTCCACAGTATATGCCTGAATCCCCATTAAACATGTGGACCCCAGAAAGTAATCCATTAGATGTGCAGAATTAGATGTATGTTTTAAAGCTTTCATTTTCTTTATTATGTTAACCTCTGTGGTTATTCTTCACTGTGATTATTAAATATATAAAAGGTAAAAGCTTGGTAGAGATGTTCTGTCCAGAGCGCACCGTTCCAGTGATGTGTAAATGGCAAGTTTAAGATCTTTTTCTGAGATTTCAGGTTTGAATGTGATTGTATGGGAAGAATTATCTTACTGTTACAGATACTGGTAGAGAATAAACGATTGCTACTTTCCCACACAGTTTATCACTCTGTAGCCAAAATGGAGCCAGTATTCATATGTATTGCATCATCATACTTTCCAAGATAAATCCTTTCTTTCCTTTTCTATTTGAACTTGGAATCTTCTACTTACTCTGCTAAAAAGATAATACTTTAGAAGTCAAGCAGTGCCTTGTAAGTCTGTGCTTGTACTTTGGAACAGGTGGAGATGGAGGATTTTGATGCAAATATTGAAGACCAGAAAGAAGAAGTCAAGAAGGATACAGCAGAGGAGGAGGAAAGTGAACTGGTAGGAGACACATCAGCCATCTCTAACAAAATGTTTGTTACTGTGTCTGAGGGAGAATCTCAGTCTTATAAATGCCAATACATTGCCATTCTTAGCAGTGCAATCTTAATACACATTTCTAGTCGTTCGTTCCTTAAACATTTCTAGGAGAACTTTAATGTTAAATCATATTATTCCTAACTGATTTTTTTTAAGAATCTGTGAGTATATGCCACAAACAGCATTATCAGTGGAGCGTGGCAACATGCCTCTTACAGACATTTATAAATTGCAGTACACTGTAGCACTGTCTTCCAGATTATCCAAGAATTACATTAAGTGGAGAGATGGGAAGAATGGGCAAAGGTTAATTTAGCTTATTTCCTTTCACGTGTCTAAAGAACTCTTCTCGACTCTCACAGTATATGACAACAGTTAATGAAGAAGAATGCTTTCTCTGCCAAGGCTTGCTGACTTTGTTTGTCAGGAAGTATTTCCAAGATGAGGGATTAGGTCTCTTGGATAAATGAAGGTTAGAGAATTGCCCTGAGGGCTGGCGGTTTTAGGTATGTATGTAAAAGGCTACAGAAGGCTTCCTAATATAACTTCTTGGTATGTGTTGGAGCTGCAACTGGTCAGTGCTTGATGAGTTGAATGTGTCAAACCCTGGTTCCCACAACCAAGCAGTTAACTCCAATAAACAGGAAGTAACCGAAAATGTCTGAGATGAGCAAAGTCCTTTTTCTTGATGGAAATTTACTGTTCTTCAGGAGTGGCAGTTTAGAAAGCAGTTGAAATACAGAATAATAAAAAAAAGCTTAGGAAGAGTGGATTTTAATAAACATCTGTTTTTTGCAACATGACTCATTTATTCTCTTTACTAAATTATTCTTTGGCACAGAGTATGAAACTGCATAAAGTGTGGTTAGAACATTTCAAAGATGCATCCATGTTTACAAGAATATGGCTGCTAGTCTCATTTCTTGGAAATGAGCTATATCTAGAAAAGAAAGTTGTCTTTAGCTTTTAAGACATCTGTGCATAAATGTGTGTGTGTATGTGTGTGTTTATGGGCTCTGGGGAGTGTCCTAATGTACAGCACATATAACAATAGGCCTTTATGAGACAAGGAGAAAGCTTGGTGGTGAAAACTATGCAAATTATTAATAACTACTAGTAATCTACATACAAGGATGTTTTCTATTCAGATTCACAAGAGATGAAAAATAGTAAAAGAATTATCTGCTGTATATAATCTCTGCTATTCAGTCACATGGCTAATCTCAGAGAGGTATGTCAGACAGAAAGGTGAAACAGTACGCTGTATTTGGTATCTGTTACCTTCTTGAGAGCAGTTGGTAAGGGTTCTTCCATTCATTTTGCTGCATTTAATGCTGTGGAAAAAGAGAGGTCTGAAGCTCCTGCCATCTGGCAGATGTCCTTGAAATATCCAACTGTCTTGTACCAAAGGATGAAGTCTGAATCTCTTTTCTTATCCTCTCTGAGGACCGGGATATTGTACAGATTCAGCACACAGTAGGCCATTTCACACCATCAAAGTCACTCTTTTGTTGCTATTATCAACTCCCATAGGGTTGTTTGTAGCATTCAGACAATTCTTGCTTTTCTGTGCTTGATGGTATGAATTACTGATGCATTTAACTTAGTGTTCTCACCAGTGTATCACACATCACTTTGTTCAATACAGGCTTCTAGCTGTGGTGTAAACTTTCTGAGCAAATTTTAATGTGCAACTTGGTTTAAAAGTATAAATATACATATATACATGAAGTTTGTTTTTTTGTTACAAGGAAATATTGTAGCACAAATGTCTTAGTTTGTATTAATTACAGACTTGATTAAAAACAATAAAATACAGAGATCTGATAATCTCAAGTCATTGATATACGCTTGATAGAAAAAAGGTCTTTCAAGGGTTTTGGAAGAGCAATGCTGAACATAATCAAAAGCAGTGTAGCTCTCTGGAATAGTACATTCTGATTTAGTAACCCTTAGCATTGACAAATACACGTGTATGTTTACCACAGTGGAGGCAACCTATAAATAGAGCAGGAAAGAAGTTAGCGTAATAAAACTGGTCTGTGGATTGTTTGTTTTCTTGTTGAAATCTTCTAGAGTAGTTCTTTTCCCTCTCTATTAAAAATCATTCTTAAAATAATGAAATTCTCACAGGGGTTCCATTTCACTACATAGAGCTTTTTATGTGATTGCAGAGAAACATAAGTAGTTTTACACCAAATGTGAACAGCTGAAAGGAGTTATAAAGGGTTGCTTAGTAAGGATTTACTTGTCCAAGAGTATAAAATGAAAAGATAACAAGAAGATATCTAAAAATAAATACCTTTTTGCCAAATTTAATACCATTATGCTCATTTACAAGGAATAAACTGGCTAAAGATCATTACATGTAAAATGTATGATGACATTATTTGTAGGGAAACAGTGTTTTAAGAGAATCATTGAACTAAGAGGGTTATTTTAAAATGAAAAATAATACTTAAATCTTAGTGATTCAGCAGATACTCTCATTTAAAAAAAAGAACGTTGTTTAGTTGTGGACTAACCACTTGTACAAGAATTTAGTATGTCCCTTTGAAAGGATTATTAAGTGAAGTTTGTGTGTAGTAAATCTGAGAATATATTCTTAAAAGCTTATGACTATGGTAACTTTTTCATTTGTATTTGTAAAGCTTTGAATATTCTTTATGCCTGATAAGTTGTGTTGCAATAACTTTGCCACCTGGGATAATATAATATAGTAACTGTGTACACAGCGCCATTGCTGTCTGTTAGACTCATTCTGGAGTTCTGTGTTTGCAGAGGGCAACACTCTTGCAATGATTTGCAAGGGTTGCTAAAATCACTGCATGGGAAGTGGATGCAGAAGTTCTGAAATACTGAGTAATTTGTTTCCTTCATCTGATAGCAAGAATTGTGCCTTACAAAAAGAAATACCTTAAGCTCCCATTATAATGCTGTTTCCAGTTCAAAAGTGATATGCATGTGTGTCTCTCTCTAATCCTGCGAGCTTCTCTCTGTGTATGATTTAGGGTTACATTCCGAAAAGCAAATGGGAGATGGACACTTCTGAGGCAAAGCTAGGTGGGTATTTATTTTTTCCTGTTTCTTATAGTTGGTATCTGATGATGTTTGCAAAACGTGAATTTTCATTTTTACTGTGCCTCTTTACCAAAGACAAATAAATGTATTGATCTCATACATGTGTCTGAAACTGCAAAAGCATCTATACAGAAAAGGAATTTGTCTTCTGCCAGAGGCAAGGGAGTTATGATTTTATAACCATCACTGTTTTATATTCTCATTAATCGTTCTTTCATCTGTTCAAGGAAAGTACTTCGTCTTAAAATTTTTAAAAAAGCAGTATGTCTATTCTTTATTCATCTCTTCCATATTATAAAAAGCAAAGAGTCAATTTACATTGCACTGCATTATTGTTCATACTGCATACCTTTTTTTCAAGCCTAAATGTTGTCAATAGCTTCTTACTTTCTTGGAGATGTGCCTAGTAGCTAACTGTATCAAAGATGTTTCTTGTTCTCCAAAATTAACATGTGTGAGGACAAAGTAGTGCCTTGCTTTGAAGTTGGTTCTGAATGATTAGGCTTTGGTGTATCTTTTCAACAACTAAGGTGTTGAAAAGTTAAAGTTCGTTATGCTTTTCAGGTCCAGGAGAGTACTAGAATTTTTCTTAGTAGGATGCAAAATGGACTTTCCAGGAGCACAAGGACACTATTTTTGCTGCGCTTTTTGTTCTGGTTGATGCTGCTGGTTGTGTTAGACGTTAAGTGCTAATATTAGGACTCTGTCAAAGTCAAAAGCAACTTTCAGGCTGAAAGGTATACACCACAGCTATGGTGGAAGGCGTACACGTGGAAAAGGGTTCCTAGTCATTATGATCAGTTTTGTGGGGGTTTTTACTGAACAGTAATGGTTTTAAGTGAAGATTTTATCAATGCAGTCTGCATAAAACTGCTATTTTCTGTCACATCTACGAGAAGTAACAAATACCTACATGGGATGCAGCATGTCTTAACATTTTGAGGTTTGCTTCTGCATGGGTGGTACAGCCCTGTGTATCATTACTTTCCAATAACCAAAATCACAATTGCACCATAGAAACAGCATTAGAAATTCTGACTTGCGTAAAGCAGCCTTTCATCTTTTGCTGTTAACTGCTTAGCTGCACCATCTCTTCTACTGCTCTGCTCTCTTTTAAGTAATTTAAATATTTGTGGAATATATTGACGTTGTGGCACCTGCAGTACAACCGGAGGAGCCTTGTACTCAATGATTCCGGCATAACAAACAGCTAGGCAGTTAGACAGAATTAATTCAGGATTGCTCTGCATGTTTGTTATAAGAGTTGATTTGTTTAATATCTTAAGATTATTTCTTAAGTTTATAATGATTTTTTTCCCAATAGCATATGAAATCATAGTACTGGAAAACTGCATTGTTGAAGAATGCTCTGATACATTGTGTTGTATTCCAAATACCATAGACTTCTCTAAATACTGAGTAGTAAGAACAGATGTATTGCACTGCATACGGTGAACCTTAAGTCATCCTGTGCATTTTAGAAATATAACAGGAGTCCAAGGGTGTGTTCTAAGAATATTTAAGCTTTATGTGTAGTTTCAAGCAATGTGGAGACTGTGCAACAGAAATTTACAGATAGCTTTCAAAATTTACCTCTCTCATGATCAAATACTGCTAACAAACAGAAACAAAGAACTTTGTTGCATTTCTTTCCATATGAAAACTCCATAATATAAAATGCAGGATTTTTATATGGTCTCCACTTAAATGTAAAATGGGGAGAAAGCAGCAGAGTCAATCTTGTGCTAAAGTAAGTTACTTGCAAGGCTGTTGCAATAATCCTTTAACAATCAAACTCCATTAACAAACTGGATGTTAGCATGCTGCAAGACACAGATACAGGTGCTGAGAAGGTCTTTCTATTAAATCTGGATTCACGATTTTACTTTTATAACTACCCTCTAGATTCATTTTTATAAATATATAGAACTATAGATTAAAAGTAAATTCTGACAGAACATACATTTTTAAAAAGCCAGGCATTCCTGTGTAATGAATGCTGCTTCTTTGAAAAATTGCTCTGCAAGGGCAGACAACTTTCAGCTCAAGGTATGTGTTATAAGCACTTGCAGTCTGTGAGTAAGACTTATTATATTTAATTCACAATAAGACTTTGTTGTAGATGACCAATTAAAATTATTTCCTGAAAGGCATGTAAACTGTGGTATGCTTTTGTTATTCCAAAGTTAAGTTATTTCCTGGGAGCTGGCCTGCCTGTTACGTTTATTGCATTAGTCCCAGAGGGCACACGTTTGCAAAAGTGATATAAGTGCAGAATCCAAAAACAACACTGTAAGTCTTGTTTTGCTTTTTTGTTGTCTTTCTGAGTAGGTGTTGTTACAGGAAAGCACAATAAGATCTTACTGATTGTAATAAGCCTCAGAAAAGTTCTGAGAAGTTTGAGTTCTTTAGCTGCAACATTGACTTGTGACAATCACCATACCATACACCCCAGAGCTCTTGCTTTAGTTCAGATTTGCTTTGGCAGGGGTGATGCATTCCTCTTGGGTATGTGTGTGGTATATAATTTCTTTGTGTTCTGCATGCACAGCCACATTTTTATTCTAAAGTCTAATCACTGGTCTGTCTCAGTGCGTAGTGCACATGGGTTCTTGTATTTAAATTTACAGAAATGGACTCACATGTTTAAAATTTGACTATAGTTGAAGTGTTTAGTGCAATACTCTGTTTCAAAGTGTGGCTTAGTGGTGAGTTCTACAGACTTTCAGGAAAGGAGAAATGTGCTCTGGCATAGCTGAAGTTTTGACGCTGCTGTAAAATTTGCTCTAGAACGCAAATAACATTTTACATAAAACTTTGTGGCTTTTGTATAAGAGGCAAAAATTTAGCTGATTGATTCATTTAGGTTTTGAAGGAGCTAATTAAGTCAGTTACTTTCAGATGCTTTATTATCAAAATTCTAAAGGTGAGTTTTTAAGTTCTGCGGGTTTTCAGAAATGCTGCTGCTTCATTGTTTTTAAAATTGAAATGGTAAAATGATATTTGATAGTTTAACACTGAATAATCATCTGCCATAAATATTCACGAAGACCATTATTACAAAATGACACCTTGTCTCATTTTCTTTTAAAGAATATTCTGAAATAATGCTTTGTGGTAGGCTTTCAACGTTTCTCTAGTATGTCTACTCCATGGCACATGTACCTTGAACCACAATAGTATGGATGGAAGCAGAAAGGCAATCCAACTTCAAACATGGAAGGAGATAACATTTTAAAATAAATTCTGTGTAGCAGTAACAAAAAGGGACAGAGGGGAACCTCATACTCTGAACACTTCCTGAACTTTTCTATTGATGTTTGAGGGTTACACATTTCTCGGCAATGTTTTCAATTGGTCTGTGTGCAGCAGGGAGTGGGAGACTGAAGTCTTTCTTCCATGTTGGTAATGAGATGAGCTTGCATCGTAGCGTGTTGCCTTCCAAGAGGAATATGTCTGTGTACAGATACTTGCCAACAGAGAGCTCCTGACTTTTTAGTTCATGTTCCTACATGCTCCTCAATGCATTTGTTGCTCTCCTTTTCAATGTTATTTTTTTTCTGGAAACCCTTGTGCTACGAATGATCTATGCTGAGAGTAATACTGAGGAATAGTACAAGTATGTTATGTGCTGGAGTAACAGAGGAATATTGTATAAATCAATTTTGTCTTCTAGAGGGAGTGCCGTCTTTCTGTGGAGATTGAGCTTCAAATTTGGCAGATTTAATTTAGAGCAAAAGAAGAACCTTAACTGAATCGTGTAACAAGATATCATGTAACAGATACAAATGTTCTGCACAGTTTTCTTAAGTGTTGGCTTTTTTAAAAGGCAGAGGGGGATTAAAGTGTTTTCTTAGATGAAATTCTGTATCTGTTCCAGGGAAATGGGGCAAAGGTGGAGTCTTTACAAATTTTAGAGTTGTATGAGGGAGAAATTACTTCATTATTTTATGGCATTTAAATTATACTAGCATGTTTACATCACCATTGCCTCACATTATCTCCGTTGTTGCTCTTTTCTCTCCCATATTAAGTAAAAAAACCTCATCTCTGAACTGAGCTTCTTTAAATACATACCTTTGAACATCCTTTTCTGCTCTCCAGAAAATATGCTGCCTGGTATTTGGTTGATTCCTGAGGCCTTTTGTGGGTGAATTTAATTACATCAGTGACTTCTGAAACAATGTTACTGACATCACTGGAAATGGTTTACAGAATATAACTGCCAAGCTTAGTATTCCTTCTGCCTATGCTTGAATTGTTGGCTTATAAAATGGTAGCATACATCAACAGAAGTACTAGGATTTCCTTTGACTTGTAAAGCCGTTTTTCATTTTCATGCTTTGTTGTTCGTAATCTTACAATGAATACTTAATCTCCTTTCCAAAAGCAGTTTGCCACATAATTTCAAGAAGGTGTTGGTTTTTCACTGAAAATAAGTGTCCAAGAGGAACAAAATTTTAGTACCTAGGAACGGAATTGTTTCTCCTCATGCCCTATTGGTTCAATAAGAAAAAGAAGAAAATGATGACTGTTGGACAAATGTACTGCTCAAATATTCATGACTGACCTCTTATACCATGAAACAAAAGATTCTGAGATATTTTTTTCCAGTCCTGGAGGATTTTTTTGAATGTGTTTTCCTTGTGGGGAGAGAAAAAGAAAGAGGGGGATCAGGGTTGCCAAGGAGCTTTTTGTTTAGCAGAAACAGTATCTCAAAAACTTGTCTTTGATGCATTAAATTATATGATCGTCACTTGTTCCCTGATACTGCATGTATGCCATGTTTGACACAGTATTACACCCCAAATTTGGGAAAAACGCTACAGCTTTAGTATTGTGTTCAAATACAGAAAGGTGGATCTGTGGTTCCTAGCTATTGGTGGCTATGTTGTACCTGTAAGGACAGACTCCATATAGTGTGAACATCCAGAAGAGCAAGCTTTTCTCCCTCATACAAATAACAAGACTGAGTGTTATTGCCACACAGTTAATGTGAAAGATCAATAAAACTTGAAAATGGTGTTGAGTCTTCTCTAGTTTATTTCAACTCTCATCGTTCCACCTGTCAAGACAAGCTGGATGTACAAGTTCTGCTGCTCATTCTTTTGAAAATTTTTCCACTCTCGTCTTGTTTGTGTGAATAATAGAAAAAAATTCTCCTTTAACTCTGAGGCTCTGTGTTTGTTCTCAGACAAGCTGGATGGTTTGCGGACTGGCACTAAAAGGAAACGTGACTGGGAAGCAATTGCCAGCAGAATGGAAGATTATCTACAGCTTCCAGATGACTATGATACACGTGCTTCTGAACCGGGAAAGAAAAGGGTAATAAATTTTCAAATGACTTACTGTCCGTATATGACCATTTAATGGTTTCTGTGAAAAAAGAGTTCATATCAAATCATTCAGTGTCTATGAATATGGCAGTTTCACTGACTCACTTTTCATTTTGCTGTTCCTTTAGATTCTGTAAGAGAATATTCTTGAGAGTAGGATCTTCCAGTGGTAAACAGATTCATTATAATGAAGTGAGGAATTGTAGATAATAAAGATTAACTATGCATGGCATGGCTTTTGAGATTGAGAATGGAATCATGTCCCATTTCTTGCTGGGGGAGAGCACTTTGTTTCAGAGCAACCTGTAGAGTCCTTTTCTTATGCTTTATGTTTTGTGATGAGATAGTGCGATATACAGTGCAGATTCCAAGACAAGATGATGATTTTATTAAGCTTTTTTTTTGTTAAGTTTTGTAATAAGTAGGCAGAGAAACAGTACACTGTTCTTATGTTCAAAAAGGTTCAGCTGAGGAAAGTATCAGCTGTGTAGGTTTTATATCAAGTCTTGTAGACTTTACCTCCTGCATATACCTTGCGTAAAGTTTGGGAGATGGTGTATAAGAAGTTGGCTTCAACCACTTTATATGTAGTTCTGTTCTGAACACAAAATGCTACATCTTCAAATACCATTGTGGAAAAAAAGGACAAAAAGTCATAGAGGAAGGTGAAAGAGAGGAAATAGGAAGAGGTAATACTTTTTTTTTTTTTCCTACATAGAAAGACCAGCTTTTGCCACTAAAAGTCATTTGAGTTAACTGTTGGTGTTTGGGCTTTGTTTTGTTCCATAACGTCAAATAGAAAACATGGGTAGTACTGGACAGTGTGCATGAGAGAAGTGGAGATACTAAGGCACTGGCAGAGGAAGTGATGGTGGAAGAAAGCAGACATTGCTTATCAGCAGAAATAAGTGGGGAAATCCAGGTAGAATGTGGAATAGGGGGGTGCTGGCAGAAAGGTGATAAGGCTATGTCCCCAAGTTACAAATCAGCCTGAATGGGACTAACCAGTTAGAATGTCAAGGAAGAGCTCCTTCACTTACTGTTTTTTCTTGTCCTGCAAAGGTGTGTTCCAGCTGAGTTCTGGACTGTAGCCCTTCATCATCACCTCCCTCACTCCCACCTCCCTGCACTCCCTCCCATTGGTGTCTGGGTTTGTGGGTGAGGGAGTGACTGTATATGTTTGAACAGGATGAATGCAAGTGATCTGCATGATGACCATGAAGAGCCACAGAGGAGATGGCTGCAGCTGTAAAGATGGGAGATAAATGCATGAAGAAGTTACTTAATTTAAAGAAATAGTGGAAAGATTTAAAGAGAAATGTACCACAGAAGATAGAGAAGAAAACTTTCACTCATTCGCTGCTGAGTTACTCTTTAATGCTTTTTTCTGTAGTTTCACAGTCGTCTTCTATATGTTTCCATTGTGCAATTGAAAGACAAGTTGTACAGAAAATGAAGACACTAAATGAATCTTTGGATAATCCTTCCTGCAGAAAGCATTGCTTTGAACAGAGAAATAATTATAGTAATTGCACTTCAGCTCTCAGAGTTATAGCATTGAAATGGAAAAGGCTAATCATCTATACTTTTCTTCTACTCTGTGGAACACCTGGGATATTCAATTAAAAAGAATGTAACTGGTGTAGTTTCCATCTTTACTGTTGGAAAACAAATTAATACTTACCTGTTTGAATGAAAAAGTACAAATCAGAATTCTTGTACTCTTATCTGCAGTGGAAAGCCTAGACTTGTCTCAGGATTTCTTAAGAGATTGTCCTACTGATAGTATGTTCTCCGTAGGTGCGGTGGGCGGATCTAGAAGAAAAAAAAGATGCAGACAGGAAAAGGGCCATTGGTTTTGTTGTTGGACAAACAGATTGGGAGAAGATAACAGATGAAAGTGGTCATCTTGCTGAGAGAGCCCTCAACCGCACCAAGTATATATGAAAAAGTGGTTAAATGGAATTTTGTGCCTTTAAGGTAAGTATTCAGTCTTCCTGCATGTTTATAGCCTTGATGGTTTTTTAGGTTTTTTAAGAGTTGAGGTTGCAGTTCATGTCATTGTTAGAGTTCTCCCAGGCAACATTGTTTGATTTGGAGCCTTATATAATAGATGTCAGCTGTGCCCATGTCAATCTGCACCCTCCTGTACAGCATCTAAAAATAAAAGGAGAAGGATTGTCAGCTATCAATCTCCCAAAACTCATTAACAGGAAGATTACATTTTCATTAAAAGCATAGTTTAGCTGTGTGCCTAGTCCTGTCTAGTTCAGATTTGCTTACTGTATCTTAACTCTGACCATGTTAATTGCTGTTTTACTTCATGTAACAAACTTTTCCTTTCTTTACAGGCCATTTGCTCTGAGGAGAAGTGAACCAAGGTGTCATGAGCATCTTGCATGGGTCATGTCACTCCCACCTTCACAGTTTTTCTTTGTTACTTTAGTTTCAGCAGTTTTCTTGAGATATTGGCAGATAACCAGTGCCCTCAGAAAAACCAGCGAATCCCGCTGCTCCTAAGTGAGAGAGACAGTTTACTTTTTAATATTTTTGGAGGGGAGGGAGGGGGAGGGCCAGTAGTTTTAGCTGCTGTTTGTGGGATAAAGTGGAAGGATTAGACAGACGTTATCTCCACTGTACTGTCACAGAATGTTTATCACTTTTGCTTTGTGGCCGTTCTCGTTTTATACTGTATGTACCTTGTAGCTTATTGTATTAGGAAGCAGAACAATAAATTTCACTATAAACTCAGTGTTCTTGGTGGACCATATAGCATGTTTTTTGTTTGACATTTTAAATGTGGTCTGTGTTCACATGTTGACAGTGCTCAGAACTGTCCTTACCTGGAAGAGGTGCTGTGCTCATATTCTGGAATGTGTCCTGTCTTCTAGGTTTATCACCTGCTCTTCTCATAGGCAGCACCATTAAGGCCCCAGGTTTTGCTGGCCTTTAGGAGTCATACCATTTCTCATTCTTCCTGGAGAGCAGGAATGATTGTTATTTTTTGGATCCTAGTTTCTCCATTATGTCAAATTTCCATTACTACGTGAGTATAAATTCGGTTGGATGGCTCTGAAATACTCAAGGTAGTAATGTATGAAAAACTTTTCTTTAATGCTCAGCTTGAAAACAGGTACTATGGAGTTCTCTGGAGGGCAGCCTAGAAAATTTCATTTTGGTCTTACTATGTCTTTTAGTCAACAATGATCCCTATCAGGGTACTTCATTCCATTCATAAGTCTACTGTCTCATAGAGAAACATCATTAAAAGAAACAACAAAGACCAGAAGTTACACCCTTCTATTCCTTTAATAAGTGTGTTCAGGTCGCTAAAATAGATAAATGAATACCATTCCACACTATTAAAAGTGGTACAAATTCTTCATAGATGCTGGTATATCGCTTCTGCACAGCATCAGGTTTACTGATGAAAACTTTCTTTTGTCCTTAGGTTTTGAAGCAAATGCCTTGTGTTGACAAAGTTGTAACCAGGCAAGGTGTTTAAATCTGAAAATAATTCCTTCTTACTGGTGAATTGAACTTCTTTCTTCTGATCTTTCTAAGGGAAGAAAATGAAGTCCTGAATTTCCTTCTTTGCTATTCTTTGTTGCTCTGCTGAGTGATTACAATGCAGTTTGCATCTAGATTGGTAAATAACTAGTTCTGGTGTGGTGGTAGTTCATGCTGTTAAAGGAGAGCCATGATGCTAATAGATGGGTTTGGTTGCAATTCTAATGTTTTGGTTTATGGGATGTTTCTCAGACTTGTCTGTGGTGCATGATTGAAAGCTCTTTGGTAAATGAGGGGAGTAGCTGAACTTGTGTTATGCCCTGAATGTGTTTAATACAAGAAAATCAAGCTCCCTGAATGCAATGTTTTTAAAATGGAAGGTAATAAGTATGCATTTTCCGTGTACACATACTATTATGTAGCATATATACTATCTTTTTTAAATGTTGCTAAGTGCTCTTTGAATTCTGACTGAGAATTGTTGACAAACAGAAACTAATAGTTAAAAATAAATCAGTATTGTGTATAGCTGTGGAAATCAGGCAAGCTTCGCTTTGGAGAAGTTACTCTCTCAGGTATGTGTAAAATGGGTTTCAGTCTATCCTCAGTTGTCCATAATGAAACTGGAGTTCTTGTGGCACACCATTGTTAGGAGTTGATGCTGTTTCTGGACTTTTAAGAACTGATAATGGTTTTTGTCTGTATTTTTGGTAATACACATGAACCAGATCCTTTTCTAACATTTTCCTTTCCAGGCTAAATAATGTTTCTGGTGCATGCAAATGGATAGCATGTGACAGAACCAATCATTATTTACCATTTTTAAAAATTTTGAAAATTACTTTAGCACGTAACACCCAGGGGGGTCACACTGTTTATTCTGTGGTGCATGTAGAATTAAAGAGAGACGAGCAGAGAATACACATAAAGTTATACTTTACTCTCAGAATGGAAAGAAAATGTATCAATCTTCGAGTTTAGGGCAAAATATCAGTTATGAAAACATACTGTTGCAGACTGTTTGTCAGACTGTTTGATCAGAACAAGCTGAAGGGCGGGGGGGGGGGGGTTGTTGCTGTTGTTTTCCTGGTTCCCTGAAGTTCAGAACTTTTTCCGTTTCTGTAGTACAGAAATACCATTCCATAATCGTTGCCATTTGTTTCAGTTGGCTTGAATGTTTAGCAGGTCAGTCTTCATCTGCTTGATGGGAAGTGGCTGTTAAAGAAACTAACTTATGCCAGAACTCTGCAACCTGTAATAGATTCTACATACTCTAGTCCTTCAGTGAATGACGAAATCAAGCAAATAGGAAAAATTCATTATTGTTGCTGACAGAACTGAGAATAGCTAGGTAGTCTCGTGCTTGGCTCATAGTCAGAGGTTGGTGATTAGTGATTTCGCTTTTGTCTGGAAAATCCTTTGCTACAGAATCCAGTAAGTTTTGATACTGATTTAGTTCTTACTCATCATCTGCTCACTGATACTGACAGTAGCATCTTTCACAGCGCTGAACAGAAAGAATACCCACTTTCATTGATGGCCAAATAGGAAAATAGGCATCCAGCGCTCTCACATAATGATCCATCTTTGACCATGCATGCAGTTGTGCTAACTCTAAGTTGGACTGTTTCTGTGCAATGCATCACATTTAAAAATACAACTGAAAAAATCATCAGCTGCTGCAGAATGGAGCTGCTACCCCTTGAGCAAAGTTGATTGTTAAAACAGTATTTTCTGTGAATTACAATTTCTTACAGCACTTCAGTTTTTCTCAAGACTGTCTGCTTTAAGAATATTGAAACTACCTGTCTTACGGTAGAAATACATGAGCTTTTTGCAAGAGAATGTGCAACCTAAGACATGCTGCTGCTGTGTGAATAGAGCTTAGTTGTCATCTTCAGTCACCTTGTGGTTTACTGCAGGATTGCTCATTAAGCATGATACAACTATGGTGTGAAAGAGTGAAAATATAGTCTAGAGTATTATATCAGTTCTGGAAATGTTGTGGTTTTCTTTTTCTTAAATGTTTACATCAACATGGATAAAGAACTTGCCTTGCATTATTAGTTCCCAGTCTTTAGAAGGGAAGAACTGGTGTTGGTACAAGTTAAGAGTTTCACTTTTCACCCATCAGGTTGGGTTTGGTATTTTTTGGACTTTGCTTCCATCATCTTTGTGAACCCTGTCCATTAATTGTTCCTTGCCTGTCTGTTTGTAAACAAAATACATTGCTGTTATTGTCTGTCTGTAAGGCATTGTTTTAACTATTTTCTGAAGCCTTTTAATCTTTGAACAACCGTTTAGATCCCATGGCGATCCGGAGGAGGATTTCACTGGTGGCTCTTATGAAAGGATTTAATTGGAAAAGTAGAGTTGTAATATTACACTGCAACAAATATATTAACCTGTCCCCAAAAAGCCCACATCTAATCCAGTTGAATAGTTAAAAATTGTGAAGAATTGTGATTTGCAAGTCACATTAGAAAGTATGCTTCATGCAGAAGAATAGTCTGTCATTAGTGTGCTTTTAAATCGGAGGGAAGAACATGACCTCACTGGCCAAGATCAGTTTTTTCCTGATTTGAGATTTCAGCATCATTGGAACGCTCTGAGAATCCTTTTCGAAGGAATGAAGTAATTCACCCTGTGGGACAGCTTGTTGCCACCTAAACAAATTTATTGTTACCAGAAGAAAAAAATATTCTTTGCCCATTTATTTAATGCAGCTGTCGTGGTGAATCGTTTAATGCCCTTCAGACACAATTTCCCTCAGCAGATTGTGCCATTTTATTATTAGCATTGCTGCCATGAAATTTTGGAAACCCACACAATATTGGGCAGACCTTGGGACTTGAAGAAAACGTGGTTGATCTGGGTTGGAGGCAAATTGTGCATTTTGCTATGAAGTTCCTAGTATCTCTGCTAGCATGCAGCTAGCTAACTGTGAATTGACTGAACTGAAACCCAGGAACTCCCTTGGAGTATTGTAACTCAGCGTATGTGGACTGGAAAGGGGAAGCAGTACTGAGAGTTTTCTTTGCCTGTGGAACATTCACATGGTCTGCATCCTCAGGAAGCCAAATACTGATGGGTACATGGTTCCTTTTTATTATGCCTCTCTTCGTTATTTAACATTTCCCAGATTATTTCTGGGAAATGAGGTCACAATACTGAACTTGAGGTTTAGTGACCATTTGGGATCAAACTGCACCAGGACAACCTGCGTACTATGAGATAATGTATTGAGGAGCAGAGGTGGCCATCTCAGTTGAGATCTGCACATTTGCAGCATAAACTATAAGTGGGTGAAAAGAAATTCAAGTTCTTACAGCATGGTGGTGTAGGACTGATTTTGCTTGGGTTTCTTACCATAGTAAAAATGAGAAGAGAAGGCAATTTCCTAGAATTTTAAATATGAATGGCCTAATTATCTTTCTATTTTGAGTGTCTAGGGCAGTCTTCTTTATTCTCTCATAAAACTTGAATCAAAGTTGTTTTCTCTTCTGCTCATCCATTCCTACAGGTTTGAGTCAGAATCCTTTGAGAAACTAAAGGAACACTGAGTGACTATTCTGATTTCTGCTCAAGATTAATCACTTTGTCATGGTGAAACTATTTTGTTTCATTCTTACCAGTGGAGTGTTCCAGCAATTGCGATGTCTCTTTCTACTGCTTGCAAATTTGCATGGTACTGGATCTGCACCCTGGATCTGAAGCCTTAAATCTTCCTTATGCATTGGAAAATTGGTAATGACAATGTTTCATTCAAGTGGATTACCACTTTCTAGCTGATAAATACTGTTTGGAAGCAGAATGTGCTATTTTATTCATGGTTTTGCTTAAACCAGGTAAGCGCAAGTACTGTTACCAAACAAAAAGTACAGCAAGTTGCTGGAAATGGAGAGAAAAAAGTGTTTCGAAGTCGCATGTCTTCCATTCTGTGTTAGGTTTCTAGTCAGGAGGCTCTGGTCTCTTTGAATTACAGGATTTAAGATTTGAATATGCAAAACCTTAAAGTTGCCTGGGTGGAAATGGCACAGTTTCTTTTTTTTTCTAATAATTTTCTGACTTGCAAAACTCTCAGATGGAATCTCTTTGGGAGGGGAGGCCTTTCCCTAGGACTTGTGCTCTGGAGTGTCAGTCATTCAAATATTTCTCCATACTGCTTCCTTTGTATGTGTGTACAGGCGCAAAGTTTGTTTCCTTAACTGATCAAGATACACGTATGAATGGATGTTCAGC